AAGAGCTAAGAATATGGTTGGCTAGTGGTTAGGGTTAGTGCTAGTGGTTGGTTGGCTAGCTGGTTACGGGCTCTGGGAGGGATAGTTCGCAGTGTGCTTGTGTTCGGTAGTTGGTTAGGGGTCGGGGTATCGTTAATTCGGGTGTGGGGGCTCCACCCCCAAACTGCGTTACCCTCATTTCATGCGGGCCACAAATGTGACAGCCAGTGGTTGGCACTATAAATTATGAACCCGGTGACCTGAACTCCAATCCAGGCCACAGTTAACATCAGCAGCGAGTGATATCTGCACCGGTCCTGGGCACAATCTTTACCAACCCGCACCGAACTGACGGGGTGATATACGATCGAAGTGGGACCCCTTAATCCGACAGTGGAGTGACAAATGGCTGACAATTATTATCGTCCTGTGGCGGCCCCGCGGCTCACTCATCATCACAAGTCTCACCGCTCGGAGTTGTTGTGATATTGGCTAGCGGAAAGTTTTCTCCAGCCCGGGAGATGGAAACTGTTGGTGCCACTTTGTATTCTGTTTATCCACCCACAGCACCGTTTTCACAACATATGAATGTTAAAATGTCAGTGGTTACTGCGTTAAACAGACCTTACATCACATGTACACACACGGGGAACAGAGCGTGCTGTCGAAAGCCTTGCTGCCAATGCATTTTAAATGGACGGACATACTTTTGTTTTTACAACGGAGTTAGAAGCGATTTGGATGGAGCGATACACTGAGCTATGAACCCCGTGCACATGAACTCCATTCCCGGACATGGCTAACATCGCTGGCAAGTGATATGTGAACTGGTTCTGGACTTCACCAACGCACAAGTGCGCATTGGTGGCCCTAGTCCACACAAGTGGACTGGCAAAGGGAGATAAATAATGACCACTCATTTCTGCACTTCGCGAGCTGTTCGCGGTTGAGCCTCGATCTCCGCTCCGGATTAGAGGTGGTTATCACCGTCTCCCACTGCTGACCTTTATTGACCTGCACTAGTCACTATTAACCCTGACTTTTAGGTACAGTATGATTCACCAGATAAATTTACGATATAAAATATAGAACCCAAAAACGTTGTGGACTGCTAATGCTGTATAACACCAACATCCAGGAAACAAAAGACAAAAAGACATTCGTATATGGCTAAGCGCTGTTAGCGAGCACCTATTTTGGACAACAACACGGCACGGGGGCTAGAGGGGTGGGTGATGTAGCTGACACTATGCAGCCGACACTATGCCAAACCGCCTTTGTCTTCCCAGTGCAGATATTTCCACCGGACCGGGTACTCATTTCAGGCTAAAGTGACATTGGGGAAGTCCGCGACAGATTAAGATATCACGCGCTGATAATAAGCCGTGGTTAGGATAACCACAACACACAACCCCTCCCCAACCCCATACGCAATGATCGTCCTATGGTCCTGCACAGATTGGTGGTGCAATTGTTGTTAGCGAGCAACTATTAAGGCCGACACAGGCGTGTGGTGCGGTCGATGCCTATGCACACGCGCACACAGTCTACACGACCACTCACATGCAGTGCCTCGTGGAAGCAAGTCTTCTCACATGACAAACTGGTCAATTCTTTTGTTGCCCAAGTATTTTGGGACTCCCCCCCGCCCCCCCCCCAAAAAAAAAGATCCCCCGTTTCACGGTCGTATAGCTGGACCTACACATATATATTATACCCACGTAAATGTATACCTGTATATTATATTACACTCTACTTATAAGCGCCCACGTATATGCTCCCCGCCTTCATCAACCCGCACCGATGACCAGCTGTAGTAACATTATAAAAATAACACCCGCGGACCCGCTCGGCGCAAAGAGGCCTTCATCCAGCAATGGATTGACAAAGGGGCCTTACACGTGCATCATGTACAATGTATATACGTGTGTATGTGTTTGTATACAGGATCCACCTATACATGTACACAATTACATGGAGAATCAGCGATATTAATGACCCGGTGAGGGACCACAGAGACCAGAAAACTCATTTTTGAGGGATCTCTGGGACCAAATAAATACAGCAGTTGAACCAATAAGTAAATTGTTGATGATACATCAGTAACCACGTATAAATTTTGATTTAAAGCTTCCGTGACTGCAGTAATTCATATTCTTAGTTCTTTCGGTAAAGTCACGTTGAAGGGAAACAACAAAATAATAATATATATTTTTATTGTTTTATATATTTTATATATATTTTATTATTTAGTTTTTTCCCTTCAACGTGACTTTACCGAAAGAACTAAGAATATAACCACGTATAGTTTGATTCCGTGAAAACTCTAAAGCATGGATTCATGTAGTCCTCAACGAGTAAAACTGTGTACAGTAAGTATATCAACATGCTTATAGACAAACGTTAATTAAATACAAACAAATATATAGGGACCAAAGGTGAATCTATATTCTATATAAACTATTAAACTTTTTTAATTTACCAGGTAAGGCTCACTGAGCTACATTGCTCTTTTTCAGAAGCAACCTCGCCACAAATTATATCTCAACCAAGTCGCTGATCACGTGGAAATGTCTAGTAGCCAAATACTCTCAACGTACGTTTATAAAGCTAATAAATGTGGACCCCGGAGAAAATGCACGCGACCACAGGGAGAGAGAGACATGCAAGCTCCAAATATATACATGAGGCGTCAGGGGTCGGAATCGATCGCTGCGAATCTTAGCAGCGTTCATTGAAGCTCTGTCGTCCCGACAGTTCTGTTCCTTCACCTGAAGAAGGCTACTTGTGTTGTGGCCGAAACGTCGTGAGAATTTCATTTCATTATGTTTTATTTTCATTATTTTATTTCCATTCTACGTGGTGACTTTACCGAAAGAACCAAGAAGATGAATCCCTGCAGTCACGAAAGCTTTAAATCGAAATTCAAGGCGAGGTAGTTCACATCGCACCACAGCGCCATCTACTCGTGAGGTCATATCGGCTATTACCAAATCTGACAATACACGAATACAATCGCGCGTAGGTAATAATCGACGTTTCTAGATGTATGTATGTTGCATGCATTGGTAACAAAATAATTGATTTTGTAACACAGTACTTAGGGGCCGTCCATAAATGACGACACGCGATTTTGGACGATTTTTTTACCCCCCTCCCTCGTCACACGGCGTCACAAAAAGTCAGACCCCCCCCCCCTCAAATATGACGTCACAAAGCTCTGCCCCCCCCCCAAACCATATTTCCATTTTGCAAAAAAAACATGCTTCAAATCGCTTTAAACTATTGTTATTGTAGTGCGTTTTTAATGTGGCGCTGCACTCTGATGTTGTAGGAGAAAACATTAATTAAAAAGTTGATTTCATTAAGTAGAACGTGTTGTCTATATTTATTTAAAGTTGCGCATTTTGATGTGACGTCACATTTCTCAACCCCTCCCCCCTCGTCACACATCGTCACAAAAGTCTGACCCCCCCCCCCCCAGGTGCGTGACGTCATTTATGGACGGCCCCTTATATTCTTCTCTACAAGGACGCCTCTGAGTATTTAGTGCTGTGTACTGGGTTCACGTGATTGTTGCAGCCGCTAAAGGCGCTGCCAATTTACCACAATATGTTTAACATATATTATAGTCAGATCGCCGGCAGGAAGAGAGGGTTGTTGTGAGTAGTTACACCTACAATATAAGTGAATTCCGTCATCGTCATAGGACAAAAGCACAATATACACACAAGTAATTACTTTATATATAGATATATTACAACCGTATAGTAATGTAAGTTGCACGCTGACAGATCCTTCCACTGACATCACCCAGCATCACTTTGTCACCAGTGTATGTGCCATATCGACATTCGTCCCGTCATAGGAATGTGTAGTTCATAGTTCCATTCATTTGGTATAGCCCTGTGAGCCATTCGGCTCTTGAATCGGGTGCAACCGCAACAAACAAAAAGCAAAAACATGTAATGTATACTACTCCTGACTCAGGGTTGTAAACAGGCGATGAGAACCGCTACATGGTCATATGAGAAGGAAAATAATTTGACTCTGATACACGACAGTATACATGCACAAATGTAAACTAAACTAAAACATGTTTTTACTTTACCAGGTAAGGCCCACTGAGCTGTATACCTGTTTGTCAGAAGCGACCTGGCCACAAATGATAGCTCAACAAAGTGACTCATCGCGTAGAAATGTATAGCAGCCAAATACTCTAAACGCATGTTTATAAATATAAATGTGGACCCGGAGAAAAATCCAAGCGACCACGGGGAGAACATGCAAACTCCAAATAGTCAGGCGTCACGATCGAATCCACACCCTCCGGCATACCAAGCAAGCTAGTAAACATATCGCCACCGTTCACCACGTTTACAAAGCGTAGATACTCAGCACAGATGCACAGTACCACTGCCCAGTACCGATACGCAGCAGTTCAGATACTCAGTACAAATACATATTAGTTCAGAGACACAGTACACGGGGCGTATATGCATATGCAGCACAGCTAAACAACACGCACGAAGTACAAATACAGAACACAGTCCAGATATGCAACGCACAAAGCACAGGAGCGCAAGTGTACACACATACAGTGCTGATGCAGAGCAACTATCATGAATCAATACACAAGCACAGCACACGCAGTACAGACGCAGAACACGTATACAAACATCGCACGGCTATACAGCACAATGAATCAGTACACCTACACAGTACACACACGGCGCAGATCATTAGCACACATACCAATCGGACATGCAATGCAATACTATGCACAGATCAAGATACTCCGAACAGAGACACAGAACAAACTACAGCACTAGATTACGATCATACAGGGCAATCACCGCCCGCTTCTATGAGACGAATGCTCCAGGTCACTGTCGCATCCCGAGTTGCTCCCCACCAGCTTAAACGAAATACAACGATCTCTAAGATCATCAGCGCGCACGCACGCCACGGACACGCGCAGACACGCGAAGAGAGAGAGGCGCGTGTCAGCCGCGACTCACGCCGGGTACCCTTGGAGTCGTCCGGCGGCTCCATCGCTCCGCGCCGCGCCTCCTCCGAGCTCCCCTTGCGAGGCACCGAGTGCTGTCCCGCCGCGAGACTGCAACGGGCCGATCGGAATGATGAAGGCAACAAAACAAAAAACCGGACCCACGGCCTTTTTTTTTTGGCCGACTCTATACTTCCAGCAACGCGCCGGCGGGAGGCGACCTCCTCGCCGAGGGTACGCGCACGGGGCGTCGATCGAAGTCACCCGCGGAGCGATGTCGCCTGCCCAACAACGCGACCGCCTTGCTCGGGAGTGACAATGACCGACTGCGAACGAGGCTCTTTAAAGTGCCGCGTAGCGCGGGGCAAGCCTTGCCCAGCCACGCAAATACCAGCAGCAAGGAGAGATGACCTTTTAATTACGAGCAAGGGAGACCCCCCCTCTCCCTCCCTCCCTCCCCCACATAAACCACGGTATGCTGTCTTATTTTTTGCAAAGGAGGGAGATCTGGGATTGAGTAATTCAGTGACGTTCTACTTGTGTAGCCACGCGCATATACATTCTTGGGAGCGGTGTTTGACCTAATATATACTGGCCGCGCAAGATCTACTCGCACGGGCAATGGTGGGGACAAGGAGTGGCCATCGATGACGACGATGATGCAAGCCTCCCTTCACCGGAGGGTGAGACGCCCGCTCACGCTCACCTGTGCGGCGGGGTTACTCCATTATTCATGCGGCCTCGTTGGGGGACGGTGGGTGGCTCTCATTAAATTTGCATCGAACCGCGCACGGGACCCGCACCCGATCCGGGCCCCACCCGACCCCGCTGTGGTGGCGGCTCCGTGGGGGGGGGGGGGGGGGGGGGGGGGGCTTCGATTACCCCGGGGCGCCCAAGCACGGAATTTAATTTAATTCCGTGCCACAGTTTCAGCGAAAAAGGCTCTCAGCGGGACGTGAGAGGAGCGATCGGGCAGGCGAGGGACGAAGCCAGGAGGTGGTCGATGTTCTTAAATGTATCGGAATTATCTCAACCCTGATCTTGGATGTATACGGTGGTCCCAATTGGGCAACAATGTGCCCAAATGCGGCAGGCGCATATATACGCATGGTCAAAGATGGGCAGGCAATTCGCGATGCGTTTTCCCTGATATAGTTTACATTTAACATCAAGTGTCTTCTCAAACGTTGGCGACCCCAAGTCATTGCTGGAAATTCCATATTCTCATGTATGTTGAACCTCTTTCGCACCATACGTAACCAACGGTTCCAATCGGAAGTGCGGGAGTGGGGGAGTAGTTTCTCCATTGCATGGTCAAAACGTGATACAAAATGTTATCAACCCCAGATTAATTATTCGCTGAGTCGATCCACAGCCGGGATTGGGACTCGTAAGATGTTCACTGGGCGTTCGTGTGGTCAGCTTGAGTACCACCAGGCCTGCTCGTGAATCTCTAATAACCAATCAAATTGAAGTAACTGGACTCTTACGACACATCCGAGTGGTTGTCCTATGAATTGTCTGTCACCGTCGAAAACCATAATTTGCACAATACTGTCAAAAAAACATCTGCACACTATCGCCGCCTTCGTGTTTGGTTGCTAAAATGTACTTCAGTAACCTTTTGGGTGGATTTAAATTAAATGGAAAAAAAAATGTTTTATGCAACCAGCCACTGGTCTCAATTATCCCACAACTGCATGTCTTCTATTTGTCATTGTTGTCCACAAAGTGTCCGTTTCCTAATCTTGTTTCTGCGATGACCTATTTAGAGCCGCAGCCCCTCCTTCTCCCTCTCCCCAACCCCTCACTTTATATGAGGCGGTGCCTCCCTACATGCTGTGTCTTGGGATCACCACTGTACAGGCCTATTCGATTTATCAAACGCATATTGGATTATGACAATGCTTATTAGGTTATTCAAGCGGAGTTGTTACTTAAGGAATTATTTTCAGATCAATACAATTAAACGTAACAATTCCCCGCATAGCAGACAAATAATACGGGCTGTTGGACTTTAATTCATAGAGATGCATTGCATGGGAGATGCTGTATATAAATAATAAATCATGATGATGATCACATGAGCAGTCAATGAGACTGTGCGTGTCGTTTGAAGGGTTAACAAGTGACAGGCAATGCAATACAGATCTAAAGTGTATTACATTAGCGACGTTTCGGCTGACGTGCCTTCTTGAGCATGTTATCCTGCTTATGTTTATGTGTAGCTGCACTGTTTAAAGCGTGTTTATAAAAGGTGCTGGTATGTTCAGAAGAAATATTCTACATGCCAGTATTGCATTTAATATTCACATTATATCCTACAGGATATATTCGAGTGCATGTAATACGCATCATAAACATGTGCCTCAATGTTCATATTCTTAGTTTTTTCGGTAAAGTCACGTTGTAAGCCATCTGGCTTCCATGAGAGATTCGTTCATGAGGCTATCCACATATACAAGCACAGAGACAATTTCAACCGAGAAGATGGATTCTATCTTAGCAATCATTGGAAAGATTTGATAAACCATTTCAGGTCTTAATTGATTGTTCACGCTTACAGTGGCTTTCAGACAGCATACATTATAAAAAATTTCGTCTCCCCCCTCCTCTTTTCAGAATATAGATGGACTAGTCCTAAATAAACTGCCAAATCGTTGCGCGTGGCGCTAACGTTTTTTATAAATAAATAAATGCGCCGTTTAAAATAAATTTATGCAAACCAACACACCTGAAGATGACCGTTTGAGTTATGGTCGAAACGTCGTGAGAATTTTTTTTATTGTTTTATATATATATTTTATTATTTTGTTGTTTCCTTTCAACGTGACTTTACCGAAAAAACTAAGAATATGAATTACTGCAGTCACGAAAGCTTTAAATCAAAATGTGCCTCAATGGTTGTTTCAAGAAACCTGCACAATTATTAATTGGACTGTCTTACATCGGACGTGCGGTCACACAGAAGACCAATAACGCAGACCTTTAAGTGTTACCCTGACGACCAACGGGATAGAAAGAGGTCAAGATCCAGGTGCCATCATGGACCAAGCTGTTGACGCCACTACACCTCTCCAGAATCCCGCAGCTGCTGCACAGGAGACACGCAGGGACCTCCAACATCTGCCCTAACAGTGTCCCATGATCTGGTGTTAGCTCTTCTCTTCCCCTTGATCGCCAAACTCATGGAGGTAATTCCAATAGCTGTCTCTGTAGCCGGCCCTTCTCTAACCTGCACGCATGCCCCACCTGGCGCAGTCATTTTTGTTGCCTAATAACCTGCAACACTCACCTGCCGTGTACTCTTCTGGACTTCTGCATTCCTTATCCTGTCTTGTCACAAAATTTATAAGATCGGGCTCAGACACCTGTGGTCAAATGCCAACAACTGTAGAGAGAGGGCACTCACCAATAACACATGGCAAAGCATTGTTTAGCACGTCTGACTCTGCAGATAACCCCTCGAAGGGCGAAACACGTGCAGCGTTTGCACGTTCAAAAATGCATTGCTGGTAGGTTCACCCAGACGACCAGCAGCCCAATCGACTACACTATACTTAATGTTTATGGAGAGATACGGAAGATGATATGACGTATTCACTTCATGTCTAGCGACCAGCGATTGCGTTTGTTGGATGCACAAACATTTTTTGGTTTATTATATACACACACACATGTTTTCAGAGATGCCAATCTGTTAAATACGTGTGTGGAATTCTGGGGGAATGAAAGAGCGGTTGGTAGGGCAGGGGGAGAAGGCTGGTAAAGGGGACACACATTTATCCCAGGGACCGCGTGTGTTTGCGAGATAACAAACCCCGCGTCGCGCAGCTATAACGCTGCACGGCTCAAGGCAATTTACTCTGGAAATCCTGCGCCAGGCTGTGCACGATACGTGTCACACGCCTGTGATCTGCTGCCAGTGTCTTTGTCGGTTTGATGATGAATTGGTGATTATTTCGTTTTGAACCAAATGCTGATCAAGTATTAGAGATGCGGTTCTTAGTGATTGATTTAGCCGTGCAATTGCTTTTGTCTGAGAGTTGGTGAATGGCAGAGAGGCCGACCCGCCACCGCCATCACATTTATATTTCGTGCAGTGCGAAGTTACACGGTCCATTGTTTGGCATTCGTAGCCGCAGTCGCACACAGAGGAGAGTTTTTATTTTCCACTTGGGCATTCGCAATCCGCATCGGTCTCGTAGGAGCCCAGCACGAGTGCATTATCACCACCACATCTTGCCTTCGTGTTCCAGTTATCGTTTGACCTGATTCACTCCTTATCACTCTTTAATCGCCACCAACACGATTCATTGTTCCCACTAACGCCTCATCTTGATATCTCTCCCCATATCAAGAATACCTTCTGCCAGATTCACCGATTTATCTCATCTGTGCTCTATTCCATCACTATTGCCTTCGTACTCCCTGGGTCTTTCGATATTGCCTTCTTCTATTGCTCGTACTGCTCGACTTTGGAACTCCTTCCCATAATCTATTTCCCAAGGTTCCTATAGCTTTGCGCAATTCACGACACGTGCTTGGGTCTTCTATTCTGTACTATCATTCGTGCTCTCCATTGCTGCCCGCCTTGCGCCATACGCCTTTGGGACTGTGTTCAACGACGGTGATGAAAACCAGACCAACCTTATTTCCTCCTCAACCTGGAGCCAGCCACAAGCAGCGACCCTGTTGAATGTCAAAAGCCAGCAACGGTATCAGCAGCGGCAGCGACAGCAGCGTAATGTGGACATCACTGTCGTGCACGAATTGCTTTCAACAGAAACCTGCTGTTGCGTGCGGCATTGAAACATGTATCCCACGCGCGCGCTGAAGCCACACGCGACTTCGACGACGATGTTCCCCACTTTCCCACAACCACGCCTCGGGACGGCCCGTGAATCAGCGACACAACATCACGTGCAGCAGCTACGATTAAAATGAAAGTTAAAGTTGGATCCCTGGCCACGGCTAACATCAGTGGTGGAGAGTGACATCTGAACTAAGTCACATTATGTCATCATTAATTGAGTGCCCGGTGCGGTGCGTAAACATGAGCACAGGTGAGAGAGACAAAGGTGGCCGTGCGTGGCTCCGATCGCGCCACACACTAACTTGTGCCGGCCCTAATAGGCACTCGCTAACAGCACTTGGCTCAACAGTCTGCTACCTGGATGTCCTGTCGGTGTAAAATAGCATTGCAATCTCCCCACAAGCTATGGGTACTGTAATACTGGTAGGAACGAAGTTGTAAACTGAGTGTACCAGCCTGCAATAGATTAATGTGTCCGTCCGTCCGTCCCCTTTCAATACTTTAACGAAGTGAAATCTCGTGCTGTTGGGTGTAAAATCAGCAAAAGACAGCGCAGAGACTTGTCCTACCAGGCCACCCTGCAGGGACCTGTTTAGTGTCATTCACTTTAATGATCGCTGTTGCCAAACAATGAGTGACCTGCCATATCAGGTCACTAAATGTCGAGGACTCAACCGCAAACGGCTGGCTGGTGTCCCTACTAACCCCCAGGTCGTGTACTGTCGTATTTTATTAATTTATAAACGAGATAAAATGTTAAGCTTGGATAATACACTATTTGGTTCTTTCGGTAAAGTCACGTAGTTAGAAATAAAACTACGTGCGTGACTTTACCGAAAGAACTTGGATAATATCTTGAAGTGGAACATCTCGTTTGCAAAGGTTTCCAGAGTGTCAATCTCAACAAGCTGTAAGTATTGTAGTTAGCAAGCACG